TGTCCACTCTGCCTGTCAAAAAAAAAAAAAAAAAAAAAAAAAAAAAAGAAGAATACTATATATATTTTTAAAAGATTTATTTTCTTTATTTGAAAAACAAAATGACAGACAGAGGTAGAAACAGAGAGAGAGGTCTTCCATCTGCTGGTTCACTCCCCAGATAGCTGCAATGGCTAGAGCTGCACCAGTCTGAAGCCAGGAGCTTCTTCCGGGTCTCCCACATGGGTGCAGGGGCCCAAGGACTTGGGCCATCTTCCGCCGCTTTCCCAGGCCATAGCAGAGAGCTGGATCGGAAGAGGAGCGGCCGGGATTAGAACCGGTGCCCATATGGGATGCCGGCGCTTTAGGCCAGGGCTTTAACCCACTGTGCCACAGCGCCTGCCCCTAAAATACTATATATTTTTAAAATTTAATATTATACCAATATCATTTTTGATATTAGATCTGACTTTCATTATACTCGAATATTTTTTCAAGGTTTTTTAAATTTTTTCAAAGATTTATTTAATTATTTGAAAGCAGAGTTACAGAGTGAGAGAAGAGACATAGAGCCAGATCTTCCATTTGTTGGTTCACTCCCCCAAATGGCTGCAGACTGAAGCCAGGAGCCTGGAGCTTCTTCTTGGTCTCCCATGTGGGTGCAGGCCCAAGCACTTAGTCCATCTTCTGCTGCTTTCCCAGGCACATTAGCAGGGAATGGGATTGGAAGTGGAGCAGCCGGGACTCGAACCTGTGTCATTGCAGGCTCTGGCTTAACCCACTGCACCACAGTGCTGACCCCTTTTCAAGGGTTTTGCATGTCGTCTGTGGAGATGATGGTCTCTTACCACTGCATTCATGTAGAACTTGGTTCTGTTGATGATATACACCCTCCCATTCCTGGAAATGACCTCATCTGTGACAAAAGGCAGCCACCCTTGCAGGCAGCTCTGGTGGTAGAATAGAATATAAAACCAGGAGGTTCTGAAATGTGGGCCCTTGACGTGAAATCCACAGAACCAGCTGAGAGGACTGTGCTCTGCCATCAGCCGGTAAAGTAGGCAAGCGGCCTCTCAAAACGTATGCTTCGGGGCCTCTGTCCTGGGGTAGAATCACTCTCAGGGACACTGTAGCCGGGCGCTGGGCCAGGTGCAACCCTTGTTCTGAGCCCAGGGCAGTGGGATAGGATGAGGTGGAGACCATGAAACACCTATGGGGAGAGTTGTTCTTCTTCTTCAATCTAAAACTTAAAAAAATCCCTTCAACACAGAGGTGGTAGAAGCCCTGGTGACAGAACCCAGCCGTTCCTTGGCCTGTTTCTGTCTCCCCGTGGCCGTTCATTTTGTTTTTCGTAAGCCTGTCTGATGAAATGCGTCCGTGCGGCACTGTTCTGTCCCCTCTGCCTGGCTCACTGTATGTCTCTGAGTACCTGTCCATCCATCTCTAGGGGGTGAGCAGGAATGCTTCCCTGGGGCCTTTTGAGATTTAAAAGAGGTGTGGAGTGCCAAACACTCGCAGGAGCCAGGGGCACCCCACAGTCCTGAGGCTCTGTTCTCATCCACCTGCCGCCTTCTTTCCTGTTGCAATACAAATGTGAGTATCTTTAACACACACACACGCATACACACACACACACAAATGGGGCCAGTGCTGTGGCATAGCTGGTAAAGCCTCTGCCTGCAGTGCCAGCATCCCATATGGGTGCTGGTTCGTGTCCCGGCTGCTCCACTTCTGATCTGGCTCTCTGCTTTGGCCTGGGAAAGCAGTAGAAGATGGCCCAAGCGCTTGGGCCCCTGCACCCATGTGGGAGACCTGAAAGAAGCTGCTGGCTCCCGGCTGCTCATCGGCGTAGCTCTAGCCATTGTGGCCAACTGGGGAGTGAACCAGCAGATGGAAAACCTCTCTCTCTCTCTCTGCCTCTCCTTCTCTCTCTGTGTAACTCTGACTTTCAAATAAATAAATAGCTTTAAAAAAAAATGTATTTCCAACTTGTCATATACTAGAGATCAAATTGATCATGGCCTCACTGCAACCACAAAGCTGAACTGGAGACTTTGTTGTCAGAGAATTTATAGCCTGGAACTGGGCATGGGAAGTGGAGAGTAGGGACCAGATGCTTAAGCAACAAACTATAATGTCAGCATAAAGTGTGGCAGATTCTCAGGGGAGGCACTGGTATTGCTCAAAATGTGAGCTCTTCAGGCCTGCGCTGTGGAGTAGTGGGCTAATCCTCCACCTGCAGTGCCAGCATCCCATATGGGAGCTGGTTCTAGTCCCGGCTGCTCCTCTTCCAATCCAGCTGTCTGCTATGGCCTGCAAAAGGGCAGAGGATGGCCCAAGTGCTTGGGCCCCCGCACCCATGTGGGAAACCCAGAAGAAACTCCTGGCTCCTGGCTTCGGATTAGTTCAGCTCCGGCCATCGTGGCCATTTGGGGAGTGAACCAGCAGATGGAAGACCTTTTCCTCTCTGTGTCTCGCCTCTCTCTTGTCGCTCCCCTTCTTCGTGGAGGAACGACACTAAACCCTGCCTAGGCTTCCTATCCGAGTCACGGCACCATTATGTCGCTCCCCCTCTTCGCGGAGGCACGCCACAGGACCCTGCGTTGTTCTTTTGTCTGCTCGGCCCTTCCCGGGTTTGCTGCTGGTTATTCCCGGGTTGGCTACCGACCCTTCCACCTCCGTGGAAGGGCGGTTCCCCCTGCCACTTTCCCCACTTCCGCGGGGGAGCGGCACACCGCTGGCCGGCTCTCTAGGGGGCTGCACAGGTGTTCCTTCAGATAGATGTTCCTGGTGCATGTTGTCTCTCTCCTCCTTTATAGTCCTTTTCCACCAATCCCAACTCTGCTACCCACGCGCCGAGTACGCTGCTCTCCTCCAATCAGGAACAGGTCCTACAGTTTATTGGTTGAACTGGAGGCAGCTGTGTAGAAGCTGTTTCCTCCTCTCCCAGCACCATATTGTGGGAGAGCAGATGCATAGAATAAGTCTTAATTCCAGTAACAGTCTGAGTTGCTCCCCACACTCTCTGACTGTAACTCTACTTCTCAAATAAATAAATAAATCTTTAAAAAAAAATGTGAACTCCTGGAACCAACCTAAATGCCCATCAACGATAGACTGGATAAAGAAATTATGGGATATGTACTCTTTAGAATACTATACCTCAGTAAGAAACAACGAAATCCAGTCATTTGCAACAAAATGGAGGAATCTGGAACACATCATGCTGAGTGAAATAAGCCAGTCCCAGAGGGACAAATACCATATGTTCTCCCTGATCGGTGACGACTGACTGAACACCAAGAGGGAAACCTGTTGGAGTGAGGTGGACACTATGGGAAATGGTGGCTTGATCAGCATAGCCCTGACTGTTAATGAACAACTAAATACATTATCCCTCTTAGTAGTTTTTTTATCTGTTCTACTTAATATGATTGGTTTAGATCTGTAATTGATGCACAGTTATTCTTAAGTGTTGAAAATTAACTGAAATGTGATCCCTGTTGAACATGGTGGTGGGAATGGGAGAGGGAAGAGATGTATAATCTGGGACATGCTCAGGCTGACTTGCCCCAAGTGGTGGAGTTGGAAGCATACCAGGGGATTCCAATTCAATCCCATCGAGGTGGCATGTACCAATGCCATCTCACTGTTCCAGGTGATCAGTTTCAGTTCACAGTTGGTCATGGTGAAGGGACTGGGAGTCAAAGGGAGCACATAGACAAGTCTAGTACCTGCTAACGCTAACTGATGGAGTAAATAAAGGGGAGAGTGATCCAACATGGGAAGTGAGATACTCAGCAGACTCATAGAATGGCAGATGTCCTAAATAGCACTCTGGCCTCAGAATCAGCCCTAAAGGCATTCGGAGCTGGCTGAAAAGCCCATGAGAGTATTTCAGGCATGGAAAGCCAAGACACTCTGGCAAAAGATCTCTGCGAGTGAGATCCCAGTGGAAAGAACAGGCCATCAAAGAAGGAGGTACCTTTCTCTGAAGGGAGGAGAGAACCTCCACTTTGACTATGACCTTGTCTAAACAAGATAAGAGTTGGAGAACTCAGAGGGCTTCCATAGCCTTGGAAACTCATGACTGGAGCATAGGGAGATTACTGATGCCATAGACAGGAGTGTCAATTGGTAAAGTCAACAACAGGAGTCACTGTGCACTTACTCCTCATGTAGGATCTCTGTCCTTAATGTGCTGTACATTGAGATTTAATGCTATAACGAGTACTCAAACAATATATTTCACTTTGTGTTTCTATGGGGGTGCAAACTGTTGAAATCCTTACTTAATGCATACTAAACTGATCCTCTGTAAAAAAAAAAAAAAAAAAAAAAAAAAAAAAAGAAAGAAAGAAAGAAATTATCAATTCCCAACTTGACTCTCACTGGGATTAAACATGACAATAGGTCTGCTCTGATTTCATCATCATTTAAAAAAATCATCTATTATTTTTCACTTTATGTTTCTGTGTGGGAGCAAACTGTTGAAATCCATACTTAATGTATACTAAGCTGATCTTCTGTATATTAAGATAATCGAAAATGAATCTTGATGTGAATGGAAGGGGAGAGGGAGTGGGAAAGGGGAGGGTTGTGGGTGGGAGGGACGGTATGGGGGGAAAGCCATTGTAATCCATAAGTTGTACTTTGGAAATTTATATGCATTAAATAAAAGTTTAAAAAAAAAAAAATGTGAACTCTTCTGACCAGATTTGATGGTCAAGGAATGTTGAAAGAGCAGTCTAAAGAAATAAGCTTTGTGACTATGGATTAGACGCTTGCTTTTTCTCACCCTGAGGAGGTTCTCCTAGTAAACTCTGCTAACAACCTCTCTTCCTTTGGACTTCATTCCCTAGAGGACTCTTAGGGGATGTCGTTGTTGGCTAGTGGTCAAAATGGCTTGGGCTGGATGTTTCATTTGTGAATAAAGAGAATTAACCACTGAACCTGGAAGTTATAGATGAAGAATACATGTGATGTGACTGTTAACCACCCTCTGTGATTTCTGCTTCTAGAGACCTAATACCCATCGTTGCCGCTCTGGAGTACAACCAGTGGTTCACCAAGCTGTCCTCCAGGGATCTGAAACTCGTGAGTAGTTGCACATACAGCAAACGTTGCTTGGCCTTGCTGAATTTTGAAAACTTGAAAGTTGTCTTAAAGTGTTTTCTGGTGCGCTGCATACATTTTGTTTCTAGAGGAGATATTTCCCTACCAATGATTCATGCAGTGTTTTATAAAGTTTATAATGAGTGATGCTTGAGAGAAGTGCTTCCTCGTGTTTTTAGCTGCTTCAGGCAGTTTTTAGAAGATGAGCAGGAAGATGGATTTCAGGTAGCCTTCAGAACACAGTTCTTCAGTTGGCAAAAAAGCTATTATGCTTACACTGCTGCAAATAGCAGATTTTATGTTCCTATCATATATTCCATCTTCACAAAGTTTCCCTTCCCCCAAATTTAGGATAGGTACCATTGGTCTGGTTGAGTTTTAATAGTCAACATTAATTTTCTAGCTGAGTTTTTGTGTAGATCTATGTGTAAGGAAAATGAAATCTGGGAGTTTTTGTAATGAACAGAAGGGTCAAATAGTTGGTCTGTATTTTTTTTTCTTTTTTTAGAAATTTATTTATTTATTAGAGAGGCAGAGGCAGACAGAGAGAGAGGTCTTCCACCCTCTGGTTCACTCCCTAGATGGCCACGACTGCCGGTGTTGCTCCGATCCGAAGCCAGGAGCTTCTTCCGGGTCTCCCACGTGGGTGCAGGGGCCCAAGGACTTGGGCCATCTTCTACTGCTTTCCCAGGCCATAGCAGAGAGCTGGATCAGAAGTGGAGCAGTGGGGACTTGAACCGGCACCCATGTGGGATACTGGCACTGCAGGTGGTGGCCTTACCCGCTATGCCACAGTGCTGGCCCTGGTCTGTATTACTAATCAAAATAGATGCTCTCTTAGGGAGTAAGAAGTCTTATGGACAGATGCTAATCTTTGGGTTAGCTTCCCAGTGCTTCATCCAGGATAAGAAGTAATTTAGAGGCCACCACCCTTTCAAGGTCATAGAATCTAAGGGCTTCAGATTTCTGTGGTGAGGAGTTAGGACTTGAATTGATTTGTGGATCTGTACAAAGTGGAGGGTTGTAATTGGCTATTGGGCAGACCACTTGGTTCCATGAATATGGGGGGAGTGATGAAGGCATTATCTGTATGAAAACGGGCAGAACTCACTTGTGCCCCTCAGGAGCCAATGTGGTTTAAGGAAAGAGGGTAGATTTGGAATCTGAAGTTTTGGACCCTTCTTTCAAGCTTGTATGACCTGAGATAAGTTACCTGGTCTTCCAAGGCTTCTGCTCCCTGCATACCTGGTACTGTGAGCTTGTTGGGTCTGTTGTCTTATTCATGTCTATCCGGTGTTTATCAGTCTGGTTTGTAGAAGCTACTCAATAAAATTTGCATGTTAAATAGATGAGTGAATGGCCATAGCAGTATCACTGATTTGCAGGTTGTTGAGGTAAGTAAATGATGTGTGTAGAAATTCTAACCATACCTGACACATTGTAGACATGTTATAACTTAACTGTGGCTATTAGGATTCTTGCAGTCAGACTAGCAAAGAGGTTGTGAAATGAGCAATTTTGGGCGTATGGATTTATGGGAACTATGTCAGCTAGACCAGGTGGTGCCAGAGTGGTGGTGTTGGAGCTGAGGGGTTTCGGGGTGCAGCCAGGTGAGTCCTCAGGAATAGACAGGTATCTGTGATGGGAGACCTGGGAGTAGAATCCTCTTGTGTGCGGCTCGCTGGGATGGACCCATTACCAGGAAGGGGCCCACTGGGGAAACAGGAAATAGATTAGCCCAGGGGCGATGGATCAGAGACGTGAGTGGTTCTTTACTGAGTCACTTTTCACATGGCTCATTCAGACATCTCAAGTAAATTTGTGATTTTCTAACTGGGTGCCCAAGAGAGTTCCAAGCAGGTTGTGATAACCCGCTTTTGGAGATTGTCCCCACTCGCCACACGGGAGCTGGCATTCCGTCATTATTCCTCCCAGGCCTCATCTCTGTTCAGCCCCTTTAGGTGTTCAGCACAGAAAATACCCACCTAATGGTTTCAGTGCTGCCAAACAAAGCTTGATGCATGGAAGTGCCCACACGTGGCTTAGAAACAGCACAAGTTTCTCGCTCCCACTTCTGGAGGCTGGGAAGGCCCAGACAAGGTGCAGGCAGGGCTGGTTCTGGTGAGGGCCCACTTTCTGGACTGGTGGTGCCTTCCACCTGGGTCTTTCTGGACTAGAAGGGGTGGGGCTGCTCTCTGGGACCTCCTTTATTAGGGCATTCTTCCTGTTCACGAGGGCTCCATCCTCAGGACCTACATCCCTCACCTACTAATAGCATCACATTGTTGGTCAGGTGTTCAGCAGGAATCTGGGAGTGGGTAGAATTAACTCAGACCATAGCATTCTTCTTGTCTGTTCCCCCTACAGGATGGTGTATCCCTTTTTTGTGTATGTGTTTACTTATTTATTTTCATCTACTTGGAAGGCACAGTGACAGACATAGAGAAACACACACACACACACACTCACACACACACAGATCTTCTATCCATTGGTTCATTTTCCAAATGCCTGCAACGGTCAGGGCTGGAGCAGGCTGAAGCCAGGAGCTTAGAACTCCATCCAGGTTTCTCCCATGGGTGGCAGGGGCCCAAACACTTGAGCCATCACCCGCTGTTTCCCAGGTACATATACGTTTTCAGGAAGCTGTGTCAGAGCTGGAGTGGCTGGCACTCTGATGTGGGTATGGCAGGTGGCAGCCTAACTTGCTGTATGACAGCACCTGCCCTGGTGGTGCACTCTTAGCAGGGGCTTTGTCTTTTATGTGACTGTGCTCTCGGGATCTTCATCATGATGGTGTATAGTACCAGATGATGCTCATTTAAAGTTTGTTGAATGAATCGATGTGTGAATGAATGTTTTGTTTAATTAAAACTATGCATTACATAGATTTATAACATTGAAGGGAGGGTCAGTGGAATGGTCAAAGATTGTTTTCTGTTACAGTCCGCTGATGTCTGCGAACAGATCTTGAGGGTGGTGAGCAGATCCAATCGACTGGAAGAATTGGTGTTGGAAAATGCTGGACTTAGAACGTGAGTGTTTTCCTGAATATATGGACATGGGGCTTTACAACTGTATGCTATTGGTGCTTACTTAAAAAAATAAGTTGGCCTACTCGTAGATGGAATATATATATTGTTTTTCCTCTTAAAAAAAAATCTCTGTGATCCTCATCATTCTGTCACTTGATGTTTTTGAGTGTGCACAGTGTTATGCTTAAGAATGTGACCCTTTGAGTCAGATGCCGTGTGGCCTTGGGCAAGCAATTTAAGCTCTTTGTTCCTTGGGCTCTTTGCCTTTAAAGTGGAGATAATAGTAGTGCCTACCTTATGGAATTAAAGTTGCAAGGATAAATTGAATATATGGAGAGAGAGGTAGAGGAGAGAGAGAACTTAGAAATGTAGCTTTCATACTTTGGTGCTATATGTAGCTTATGTTATTATCATTATTGATAGTGTCTTAATAAAATATTTCTTGTGATTTTGTTGGTTTGCTTTGATTGGTTATTTCGGTCCCTTTTTGATTTAACATTTACGAGGTCTTTATCTAATAGTTTAGTAGTCAATGCCCAAGCTTCACTGTTAGCAGCCTGAGTTAGAATCTTTTAGGACAAAGAAATTACTAAATGATATGCATTGATATTTTGTAATCATAGCTTTCGGTATGTTATTTCAGGTTGAGTAAAATAGTGATTTGTAAAATCTAGTGCTAGTAATTGTAGCCTTTGAACTCAATAATTAGAGTAATCAGTTTTACATTCATAAGTATTACATAAAATGAGAGCTAAAGTGTAGTCAACAGCTTACTTTAATTTTCATGAGAAGCAGGTTCAATCCATGATTGAAAAAAAGATTATGGATGGACCAAGTAGTAATATTAATGAGATACAGAAATGTATCTTTCAAGAGACAATTATATATTTTCTTTTTGCTTTTGGCCAATCAAAATTAAGCATGGTATGGTTGTGGCCTTGTAAATTCTCTAATGAAAAGATATATAACGTTTAATTAATTATATTTAAAGAGATAAATATCTCCAGAGAGGATTCTTTTTATTTTTTACGATTTCACTCTGTTTAACCTTCAGATGTTTGATTTGAGCAGTTTTACATCTGTGTGTTTACTCACTGCTTTGTTTCCCTGCAGAGATTTTGCACAGAAACTGGCCAGTGCTCTAGCGCATAATCCCAACTCAGGACTGCACACGATTAACCTTGCTGGCAACCCCCTGGAGGACAGAGGTGCTGCCGCCTTCATGTTACTGGTGATGCCAGGGCTGGGGCGGGTTGGAGAGCTCTGATTTAGCCGGGCCTGGAGAGGAGTGCCCCACTTAACGGGAATTCTGTTGTAAATGCTGTTACTGCCCTTGCTGGCTTCTAGTTCATCCCACCTTTTCATGAAAACACTCGTGCTAAAAGTCATGCTGATGAATTCGTTTTGGAAATGATACAAAAAGCAGAATATTATTTTGCAAATATTATCTATGAGGATACTTCAAAAAGTTTATAGGAAAATAGAATTATAAGTTTATTTTGGTAAAAAAATAATTTTGAGGTCTGTGCATAGCTTTTTTTTTTCCATAGTACTCACTTTCCATGAAAAATTTTGAAGATCCCATCTATACAAGGCTTTAAAAATTGTTTGGCACTAAAATAGACTTGATAGACTTGTTTGAATTCTCTTTCCCATGAACTTTTTGGAAGTTTGCTCATACTTCTGCCTGACATATTATCTCATACCTGTAAGCTTAAAATGGCACAGTGTCTAGGGCCAAGGGCCTGGGTCCAGCTGGGCCGGGTTCTGTGCTGAGGGTCTTGTAGGTGGAAACCGCACTGTCAGCAGGGGCTCTGACCTTGACTGTGACCTTGGAGTCCTCCTCAAGTTCCCTGGCTGTTGGCAGAATTAATCACCTCGGGTCTGTAGGACTGAGTCCCTCTTGTTGGTGGATGCTATGGGGAGCTCCCTGCACCTAGTACCTGTGCCCACGTCCTTGCCTCGTGGCCCTCTGCACTGACAACAGCCAGCTGTGGCACATCTGTGTTACTTTGTGAGCTACCACAGAACACCTGAGTTAGACTATTTGTAAAGAGGTTTATTTACCTCACAGTGTTGGAGGCTAAAGTCCAAGATGGGGCAGCCCTCATTGGTTCAGCCACTGGTAGTGGCAGTGGATGGCCATCGTGGGAGCTTTGTGGTGGGGTGGTCAGTCACAGCCTGAGCCAGAAGCAGAAAGAGAGAGAGAGGAAGAGAGACTGGATCCCACAGTGCTCTCTGAGGGCAGTGCTTCCCAGGAGCTAGGCCCTCCTGCCAGGCTCCTCTTCCCAGGAGTGACCACCTTGGGGACAAGCCTTTGACGCTTGGGCTCTGGGGGATATTCAGCATCCAGACCATTACACTGTCCGTGTGATGTTTAAGCTTCTTGTAAACAGCTCCCCAGGCTGGGCAGGCCCACCACCAACTGGCCAGTCTTCATGTGAGGCCCCGTGGTAGCCACCAGCCTCCCTTGTGCTGGAGGGAGTCACGTAGGGTGTGGGTACCCAGAGAGGCATTGTGGCAGCCACCCGGCGATTCTGCCCATCACAGATACTTTTTTTTCATACGTAACACACATTCAGTGTAAGACTGGGTTGAAAATCTAGAGTTCATGGTGAGGCAGAAAGTTTCTTTTAAAAATTTTTTTAAAATATTTCTTTGAGAGGCAGACTTACAGAAAGAGAGAGAGAGAGAGAGAGAAAGGTCTTCCATCCACTGGTTCACTCCCCAAATGGCTGCAGTGGTCAGAGGTGGTTCCATCCAAAGCCAGGAGCTTCTTCCAGGTCTCCCACATGAGTGCAGGGGCCCAAGCACTTGAGCCATCTTCCACTGCTTTCCCAGGCCATAGCAGAGAGCTGGATGGGAAGAGGAGCAGCCGGGACATGAACTGGTGCCCACATGGGATGCCAACACTGCAGGTGGAAGCTTAGCCCACTGCTCCACAGTGCTGGCCCCAGAAAGTTTCACTTCAAATTGCTTGCATGGAGGATGCAGGAGTCAGAATCTTTAGAAAGGGAAACTTGAAAATCTGATTTCTGAGTAGTAGAACATTGATGGAGAGGATTCAGAAAGGAACTGCTTTATCTCGAGAGAGTATTTAGTTTTTACTTTCTGTTTTAAGCATTTCCTAGCTTTGTTGAATTGAGGCCTTTGATCTGTGAATGTTATATATTTGATAAGGATTAATTATTCAACTCAGCTGAGGGTACTCACACAGACATTCAGTTCTGCTTTTTGTTCCTGATGGAGACATTGTTCTGTGTTGCAAAAGATACTCACGAGATGTTGAAGCAAAAATCTCATGGGTGACTTTGCAGTGTCTCATGGTTTAAGCTTAAAGAAAGTTTGAGACTGAGTTGAAGTTGCAGCAGTAGATCTCTTATGAGATGCTTCTTAGGAAGCACCCTCATAGAATGAACCAAAGCTGGGGATGGTGGGTGCAAAGCACTGCAATGGGAGTGTCTCTGGGCTGTCTCTGCCTTTAGGGAAAAATGAGTGTTGTCTTAATGAAATGCCACAGAGCGATGAGTGTGACCTCATCACCCTGTAAAGACGAGACTTGTTTGGGTTTTGTTTTCAAGATGACATTTGTCTCCTACTGGGACATCCGTCGAGGGAGGCCGTTGTCATTGGCAGGTCCTTTAGGAAGGGAAATCCTGAGTCCCAGTGTATCAGGACCAGGGACCCCCTTAGTCGTTGGGGAAATGCAAATGAAAACCATGATGTCATAGCCATTTCACGGCCATCAATATGTCAGTCATCAAACAGGGGTCGTAGAAGCTGAGAGGAAAGGAAGCTCTTCCGTTGCTGGGAGTGAGAAGTGGTGCAGCCAGCTGAGAAATGAGTTGGAGAATTTCTTAAGTTAAACACAGATTGACCAGATGATCCAGCGATTCCACCCCCAGGTATCACTCAAGAGAAATGAGACATAGGTCCATACACAGACCTGTGAACAGGTGTTTAGAGCAGTGTTATTCATAATAGCTGAAAGAGGACGTGACCGAAAGGTCCAGCCCTGGGACTGAACACAGTGTGGCCTCTCTGTCCTGGGAGTGAACACAGTGTGGCCTCTCTGTCCAGTGCAGTACTGCTCACCAGTAAAAGGGGACGAGGTTTTGACACATGCTGCAGCGTGTGCAAACCTCAGAAACATGAGGTTGAGTGAGAGAAGCCAGGCTGCCAAGACCAGCGGTTGTCTGAGTTGTGGGGCTGGGAGGGGAAGCACCAGCCCAAGGCCCTTCATCCCTGTCTTGTTGTGGACCCAGTGCGCTCTGAGATGCAACCTCATTGGACACCTCATCCGATGCCCTGGGTCTCCACGTCCCTTGGGCTTAAATCACAATAGTACCAAGCCAGCTGCGTGCCGCCCACATTCTACCTAAATGTGCACATTTCTTCTCGATGTCTCCATCACCTGTTTCTTTTCATCCCTCTCCCTAAGTAGGGATGATCCTTCCTAAGATACACAGCATCTAGCATGGAGACCTTGTCCACAATCAAGAAATGCTCTCCTTATGTTGCGTTTGATTTCCTTTCATCTTAAAAAAAAAAAAAAGAAAGAAGCCGGCGCCGCGGCTCACTAGGCTAATCCTCCGCCTAGCGGCACCGGCACACCGGGTTCTAGTCCCGGTCGGGGCGCCGGATTCTGTCCCGGTTGCCCCTCTTCCAGGCCAGCCCTCTGCTGTGGCCCGGGAGTGCAGTGGAGGATGGCCCAGGTGCTTGGGCCCTGCACCCCATGGGAGACCAGGAAAAGCACCTGGCTCCTGGCTCCTGCCATCGGATCAGCGCGGTGCGCCGGCCGCAGCGCGCCGGCTGCGGCGGCCATTGGAGGGTGAACCAACGGCAAAGGAAGACCTTTCTCTCTGTCTCTCTCTCTCACTGTCCACTCTGTCTGTCAAAAAAAAAAAAAAAAAAAAAAAAGAAAGAAAGAAAGAAAGAAAGAAAGAAAGAAAGCCTTTGAAAATCAAGGTGAAGTCTGTAGAGGTTACTATTGTGCAGTCGGAAGGTGGTGTGTGCACAGAGGATTGTTCTCTGCCCTTTTCCGCCACACTCCTTCCTGGGAGATCTGCTGTGTGGTTGCGTCTCCCTGCAGCCACCCACAGATGTGTGGGCATCGTGTGTCATTCTGAAGGCGCTGTCCTTAGCCTCGGCTGTGTTCCGACTGGCTCTTCGGGGTGGTTTGTGCTCACAGACCCTTGGATTTTGACACTTCTGAAATATGTTCACAAACAAAGACGTTCCTCACTCCCTCGCCCCTCCTAGGCTCTCTGACTGCTGTGTTTGCTGGTGAGCTTGGGTGACTGCCAATGCCGGTGTCTCTCACCTTTCTTCATCGTTGGGGCACAGGCTCCTGGACACAGACGCTTTACTGGTTCTGTTCTTTGGATGAATTATCTGAACATGATGCGTGGCTTCTCTGCTCAGGGATGGAAATTCCATAAGAAGTCTATAATTGTGTGTAGAATATTTATTGACAATTTAGAGAAAGAATGGAATAGTTTCTGAGCATTTCAATGCACTATTTTTTGTTTAAAAACATAAAAAAGACGGAGGCGAGACTGTCATTATATTGTGCAGTATACAAAAGGAATTAAGCCAGGGAGGAATTATTTAGCAGGAAACACAGGATGGACAGGGTCTTTGCAATTTAGTAACTTTGAATTCTGCAGAATTTAAACACAAAGTGGAATTTGATCTTGCACTTGAACCATCCACTCAGGGGTTCATTTGAAAATTCTCAGAAAGTTAGGCTCCTTGCTCTGTGATGTGAATGTTGATACAGCAAATCCCTATTATTTATGGCACAGTCTTGTCATACTTGTGCATAAAGGACAGGCCTGTGGCCTTCCGGTTATTGGGGAACTTGTGGTTACAATAGGAGTTAAGAAACAGATACAGTGTGTATAAGTAATGCTTCAAATGCCCTGTTGCTCTCTCTGGAAGAGCTGTGCAAGCTGGCCCTGGAGCAGCCCCCTGCCCACCCCACACACCCGGACCAGTTGTTCTTCTCCTGGTGACAACACCTGGTCTGGCCCCCAGTTTACTCTTGGCCTTCTTTTTAACTCTGTTTTTTCAGACCGTGGGCCAAAGGCCCATTAACAGGCCATGAAAGTCAATGTAATATACACCTCCTGACAAGCATTAGAAACCAAAATAGAATGGATTCGGATAGAAGATGCCAGAGTGCGTGTGCTAGGCCCACTTCGTC